TGAAGACCCCTTGTATTTTGTTTTTAATGTTCCAAGAGAAAACAAAGCTGCATTGCAGTCATCCTTAAATGTCTTGGTGGTCTGCATTTATGATACATAAATAACAGCTCTATAGAACCAGCAACAAGACAATTCTGTATGTATCCAATATATGTGAATACTAATTGCCTGAGAACATAATTCACACCTAGAGGGATTATACATTTACAAATAATGAGAAGTCTTCTTTGGCATTCTTAATATATTGTTTATGTCACTAGAGTCAAGTAAGTAAAGAAGTGTCTGGTGGCCCTTTTAAAACCAACACATTTGTTACAGCTTAAACCAGCTAGAGAAATCTGTGGTGCTCCAGATGTTGTTAAATTACAGCTGTCATCACTTCCAGCAGACATGGCCAGTTGTCAAAGATTATGGGAATTACAGTGCAACCACATCTGGAGGGCCACAGGTTTCCTTCCACTGACAAAAACCTTAGAGTCTACTTCATTGGATACATGAAGTTGTTCCCATGTAGTAGGTATGTGTAAACATAAGGCTGTTCCTTGATTTTGCTGTAACATGGTAACCTCTGAAAATTGGGTAAAACTCTGAAAGAGATTCTTCTGTCTCTGCTTATTTTTTCTTTCTCCTGTAATAAAGTCAATGCTTTTCTAATTGGAAAAGGAATTGTAATAGAGTCAGCTGTCATTGTTGTTTTATAATATAATGTATTTTCATAGCCAAAAGACATTAGCATGCTACACTAGAGTTCAATTTACAACAATAAAATACACATAGAATAAAAACAGAACCACAAGATGTTGTCTTCGAACAAATTTGAGCATCATTTTTGTATTAAACTGTTTTATTTTCCATTATAGTTAATGGCACTCTAAAGCAGAATCGAGCTCTTCACAACAGTCTATACATATATTTCAACACTTGAGTATCTTTTAGTATTTATACAATGTTTGGCCCAAGTATTTAACTTCAGCATGCTATATTTTCTGAGGGTAAACCTTTCTGAAACCTGATCTTTGCGTCTTTATTTTAGGTAACAGCGCAGACTTAAGATTAGTGAAGACTTACATTGAACTGGGCCTTCCTGGAAGTCGTATAGATTTTTTAATGTCTGAGAGAAATCAGGTAGTTGCAAATGTTGGAGAGGTTCCGTTTTTCTTTACATATTGATTTACTAATTGATAACAGTATGGGTTAGTGGAGCAATATGAAACTAAGCAATATGGAACAGTATGGGACTAAGTTACATTTAAATACTAATTTATTTACTTTGAAGTAACTTGGCAGCTGAGGCTGTGGTCCTATACACCTACCTAGGAGAAAGATTCATCAAACTAAATGGATGTGCTTTTGACTAAATATGCAAAGGATTGTGCTGTAAAAATAATTATATTTTGATATCTGTGCATAGCTAATGATATGAATGTAATACTTTGTGGGAAATAGGCCCTATGACAAATTGTGACATGGGATAGTATTTTCATTTTAATCAAAGTTACATAATGTTTTCTTGCTCTCATCATTAAATTTAGTATAAATCTTTTACCCTGTTTCCTTAAGGACTCAAAGCAGCTTTCAATAACTAATGCAAAATAAGCAAATAAGGCATATCTAATGGAGTCTGTCCACTAGTGCAGATTTACACAATTTATAGAAGTATAATGAATTACAACAAATGCCTTTAGCAGGTCCAGCTGCCTTCCATCTCAGAGCTAGCAAGTAGCTGCAGAGGCAAATTCATTTTCTCTATCTCGTATATACCATTGAAGCTCCAACAACACAGCACCAGCATGCCCCAAAACAAGCTTTCACCATTCCTCTCCAGCTCAGAGCTGATTTTTAGCAGGATAGCAACTGTAAGGCTTGTATCTGCTTCTGATGGACTGTCAGAGCTTACCACAGTCCATCAGAAGCAGAGAAAGCGCTCTCACCTCGAAGAGTGTGAAGGCAGCAGCACCCAACATTCCTGTCCTACACAGTCTTTTTAAAAAGGCTATCTGCTCGCTCCTGGGGAGGAAAGCTATGGCAAATCTAGACAGCATACTAAAAAGCAGAGACATCACCCTGCCAACAAAAGTGCGTATAGTCAAGGCCATGGTTTTCCCAGTTGCAATGTATGGCTGTGAAAGCTGGACCATAAGGAAGGCTGAGTGCAAAAGGATTGAGGCCTTTGAATTGTGGTGCTGGAGGAGACTCCTGCGAGTCCCTTGGACCGCAAGGCGATCAAACCGGTCAGTCCTAGAGGAGATCAACCCTGACTGCTCTTTAGAAGGCCAGATCCTGAAGATGAAACTCAAATACTTTGGCATATTGTATTTGAGAAGGAAGGACTCCCTGGAAAAGAGTCTAATGCTGGGAACAATAGATGGCAAAAGAAGAAGGGGACGGCAGAGGATGAGGTGGCTAGATGGAGTCACTGAGGCGGTTGGTGTGAGCTTGGGGGGACTCCTGGAGATGGTGGAGGACAGGAGGGCCTGGAGGACTGTTGTCCATGGGGTCGCGATGAGTTGGACATGACTTAGCGACTGACAACAACAACAAATCCGCAGATGAAATTGAGCCACAAGCTGGATGAGGCCTGCAGGTCCATGGTCCCCCACCCTGATTCTGCAATAACTTGTCAGAGCCTTGAAAACAAATCTTTGTCTTACCCTTCTTGAACAAATAGCTAACATTACAGTTTTGTATTTCTAAGTTAGCTGTGGTTGTTCTGAGACATCTGAAAGCAAATTGTCTGCTGTAAGAGTAAGGAAGCATTGTATAGAAAATAGTTCATTTCTTACCCTAAAAGTTCCTTTTTTCAGGAGGTTGTCTTTGAATGTTCAGTGTCAATTACTAAGAATGTATTTTCCTCATAAAAAACTTGGAAGAACATTGAATTTTTTTTTCCTTTACAGAATGATACATTTGCTGATTTTGATTCTATGACAGATCGACTTTTGGATGAAATAATACAATATATTCAAATTTACAATCTAACAATTTCAAAAATCAGGTAATCATTCTATTATGAATTAATTAGTTATTAATTAATTAATTATGACTTAATTAGTCCTGCCAGAACAAGTTACCTCAACTGGAGCATTTAGCTATGGGCAGAAGCTAACAAGGAACTTCTGTTCTGAGTTATTTTTTTCTGCCCTGCCACTTTCCCAGTGGTGATTTAGAACTTACTGAGTAATCTGAATTAAGTGGAAATGCTGAGTTCTGGAAGCAGGCAGGCAATGGAGCCTGCATAAGTGAGGTCTGCCAATGTGCTTCCTTCTAGAAATGAGTGTTTCTGTTCATTTCAAGGCTTCCCTAGGGAGTGCTAGATCTCCCATGTTAGGTTCCGCTTGTGCAACATAATTGATGGGACCCACTGGAAATCTAACTTCTGGAGTTGGCTCACCAGATGGCCAGAATTGGGCAGAGATGTCCTTCTACCAGTGAGGAGAAACTCTGCTGGACAGAATGAGTGGCTTTGTCTGGCCCAGGGGCCCTGCTCCAGCCATGGTAGTGTCCTATCAGTAATAGATGTTTTGAGGTTGGGGTGCCCTGAATTCCCTGACAGGGTCAGTCCCCTGGCCCTCAACTATACCAGCCTGGAGTTGGTGTACTAAAAAAGGCCGGGGGGGGGGGGGGGGGCTTCCGCTATTGCACTCTCTTCCTTTCCCACCCCCACTTCAGATTTTTCTGCTGGAAATACCCCTGGATGGAATTGGAGTCACAGAATGCTACTACTGGTAGAATGGGAGTGTGGAGAAAGGTCATTTTTGCTGATTTTCCCTGCAGCCCCCCATCCCACAAAAAACGGCTCTAGGGGGTTGAGGTGAGATGGGTTTCCAAAGGCAGCTGGTGCAGCAGTATTGAGAACTTTAGATATCGACAACATAAAAGAAGTACTGATGTGAGAGTGCAGAAAAACTAAATCATTTATATATGCCACTCCTCTCTGCCAAAATTGTTGGGTACTGTCTCTATCCAACACACTTGTTTTGCAGTGCATTCTCCATACCACAGGAAGGACAAAATATCCTGATTACATTATTAAAATGTGCAATATGCGGCTGTCTTAAAGAATGGTTAAGAAGCCTCAGGTGGTTCAGAAGGAGGATGGCCAGATGCTGATGGGGTGTAGATGTTCAGGCAGTATTATGCCAGTTCTGTGTTGCCTGCAATATTTAACTTTGCTTCTGGTTGCAACTTAAAGTGCCAATATTAACTTCTAAAGCCCTGAATGGGTTAGGACCAGGTTGTTAGAAGGACTATCTGTGCCTGTATGCACCTGCCCAGGCCTGAAGATTGACCTGCTCACAGGCTCGCCAGCAGTCCTGGTTGGGTTGGTGGGTACACCTCTTCATAATGAGCCATGTTTATGGAATTCCCAAGAGATGTATGGTTGGCTCTTTCATTAACTTCTTTCAACTACTTCTTGGTTAAAGTAATGCACACAATCCTGAAGATCATGGCAACCTTCTTAAGTCTTTCTATTCCTATGTAAATTTCTGTTTTACAAAACTAAGATAATGTTTCACTTTCATTTCCAAAATGTCATACTGTTTTTTCTGTTTTGTTCAGTTTTATTGGACATTCATTAGGTAACTTAATAATCCGTTCAGTACTTACAAGACCTAGGTTTAAATATTACCTCAGCAAGCTATACACCTTTCTTTCTCTGTCTGGACCACATCTTGGGACACTCTACAACAGCAGTGCTCTTGTTAATACAGGTAAATAAAATTATTTTTATTAAAACATTATTTTTCTGATATACATTTAATTGGATGTGCCTCTCTGCCTTGAACATGGAGAAACCCATGTGTCCTGGAGCTCCAATATACATTTGGCTGTTTAGAAGCAAAAGAGAGTTGGACAGAAAGCTTTGCAATAAGTTTTATATTTTGTCACTTTTTATTACATCAGTAGTTAATTTTCTTTGGTGACCTATACGTGTAGTACAAAGAGTTTTGAGGAAAACAGACATTACTGGCAGAAAATACAAATTTTTTTAAATTGAGTTATTGGGTCTGAAGAACTATTTCTTTTCAATAAGACATGTGGAAAAATAAGCATTTTGACAAGCCTATCAGAAGTACATACAATGATAGATGACCTTCCCATTGGAAGATATTTTAGTCTTTCTATGGAGAGGGTAGGTATAATCCACCTAGACTTCTGTCCTAAAAACTCATAAATCTGAGAAGGGTTCCATTAATTCAGACTTGAAAGTCCTGCAAAAGATCACAATTGGATATTTTGTTGTTATTTTTAAACATGACAGCAAAAACTTACTGGTGTCTCACTTTATAGAAATTAAAAAAAAACCTCCTAAAGCATTATGCAGTATAGTTTGGGTTTTTTGATGGGGGAATATGCAGCCATCAAATTTGTATATTTCCCTGTTGAAAGAAACCTCTTTAGTCCTATAAGAAACTTAGTTTTTAAAAAATTATTTTAAAAGCTGTCAAAGCACCATATTCTGTAAATGCATGTAGAATATATAGCATCTCAGAGCAAGAAAAGTGGAGGACATTGAGAACTGTCTTCCCACACTTCAGAACTGGGAGATCTCACTGCAAAGGAAGTGATACACTCTCCATTGCCTTTTTCAAGCAGATACCTTTCCTTCCTTTACTTTTCACTTGACAGTTCACTAGGTGACAGCTGTCAAGTGAGAAACAAGTAGCAAAATAACCTGTTTGCAATGTTGCTTGGTCAATGTCCATGACTGGTATCTGCTGCACTTTGATAGCAGACACTTACACAACATTGGGCAGGCAAGGAGTATTTTTACTAGTGTGCATTTCTGAATACCAACTCCTACTATTAAAAAAAATGCAAAAAATATTTGTGCACATCCCTGCTGCTTGATTTTTTAAAAGGTGCATGCCAGTGATGGCCACTCTGATGTGCTCCTTGAGCAATTTGAATTAGCTGTCAGTGGCTCTCACTGGAACAGAATAAGAAAAAATAATGAAATAGGGAATGGGTTGTAGGTGGGGGTTGGGTAAAAGATGCGGCTGAAACTTAAAGTGTATGCAAGTGAGAGCCAGGGTGGTATAATGGTTAAAGAGTGCTGGGCCGGGAATCAGGTGATCTGGATTCTGCTCCTCATCCAGCCATGGAGTTAACTCGGTGAATTTGGGCGAGTCACAGACTCTCAGCCAAGCAACCTCATAGGGTTACTGTGAGGATATGATTGAGAGAAAGACGAGAATTATGTAAGTCGTCTTGAGTTCCTTATAGAAAGGATATTTAGAATATGAATATGACTATAAGAATACAATGTTAAGAGAGGAGACAAGCTGGCTTTAAATCCCCTGGAATAACTGCTGGAGGACTGAGCGGGAAGGAGAGGGGGACACATGAGCGTTATGGCCTCTCAGAAGACTGTGGGTTATTCAGTGAAAACCAGCACACTCTAGTTTTTTGACAGCAGCTTGATGTGCCATGCAGACTTGACCATACAGCATACAAGTGATTGTATTCTGGTTCTGTTGCAAATAACTCACATATGCTGTACATTAAAATATAGGTCTCTGGTTTATGCAGAAGTGGAAAAAGTCAGGGTCTCTGTTGCAATTGACCTGTCGAGATCATTCAGACCCCCGGCAAACATTTTTGTACAAACTTAGTAGAAAGGCAGGTAAGCAGTATCAACATCTTACATATTCTATTGCTGTTAATTAATCATGTACTTTCATTTATATCCCTGTGTGTTGTCATAAAACAACTTGGTTACAGCATGAACATAAAGGTGCTTTGCTCATGTACCATGCATGATTATTTAAATTCTAGCAGGTATTCTAAAGAGTTTTCATATATCTTTTTTTTAATCAGACAATATGCAATAATAATATTTTAAAGTGGTATTGCTATAAAGCTTACATACTGAACTAAAAGGAAGTTCATACATTTACAGCATCTATTTCCTGTTTGAATGCAGAGGAGCTCATCTCGTATCTCATATTGGTCAGTTTGAACAAAACTGGTATTAAATAACAGTATAAAGGTTGGGGTGGGGATGGACTTGAATCCTTTGAAATTGCTAGTAGTGGAGGATATACTTTTGGGCTAATTGGGTTTAAAATAGTACCTTTGTGCAGTAGACCTCAGATTTCACTGAGGTATGCAAATGACTGTGGTGTTGAAATGTTAAAATTAAAAACTACAAGAACATGTGATTGTAGCTCATAGCTTTCTTAGAAGGCAGATAATAGAACTGATGAATATGAAACGGAGGAGGATTGTGTAAGCCAGCTTGAGTTCCTTGAAAGGAAAAAGGTGGAATATAGTTTTAATTAAATATTTTTTCTGTCTGAAATGTAATTTTGTGTAAACATACCTCTTAGAAGTGAAGTTCGGTGTTTACCTTGATACATCAAAACACAACAATACTTCCAGAAAGGTATTTCTCCTTTTCCCTTGCAACCCAGACTTTGCACAGTGAATAACTTGAGGGAGTCTGTCTTTCACCATTTTCCCATAACTTTAATGTTCTTGCATTTTGTGCCTATTTCAGCCCTAATTTCTCTTTCTTGAATCAGGTATTAGATGGTACAAATACCTTCTGTATTCAGGTTAATATTTCCTTGACTCTGCTTAGCATATGTTGCCCGATAAATGCAAGATTTGGGGGCATTTTTTCATAGCCTGGAGACTGATCGTAGCTTTGTCAAAGAGAACGATGCTCTTCTGCTTTTTCATTCAACTGTTTCAGCTGCCTTTTCCCATAGAAGCCACCTATGCTAGCTTTTTGGAGCAGAGCCTCATGAACTGCAGAGGGCTTCTGTCGGAAGGACTTAATCCGACTCCCATCCCCATACACAGTACTTTCTGTTCAGCCATGGGATGCTTTGTGTGGATTTTTAAGTCTCAGGCAAAACAATCTCATGGCCTGTGGGAGGGTGTTCCAGTCATATAGTGATGTAGATTTCCTGCTCCATGTCCCTATGGCCACAGGAAAGAAAAATTGGGTGCATATTTTGTATCTCCTAAGCCCACTGCTTACCAGTGCTGTGGAAAGCTTGTGGCAGCTTCTCTGTCTGGTGTTGCCACAGTGCCTGTCGAAGAGATAGGAAGGAGAAATGGGGATGGGGTCATGTGAGAAAGGAGAGACCATGGGTCTACTGTTTGCAAGAGACTCTCCATTTCCCTCTTTGCCCACCAAAAGGTTGATCAGCTAGATGGGCTGCCTTAGGGCTTAGGATAGGCAAAGAGCTCTGATCTCAGCCCTCTGTCTATAGCAAGGGTCCTCAAACTTTTTCAACAGGGGGCCAGTTGAAAGGTGATGGGCACAGGCCGCCAAGGCAATGAGGGTGGGGGGCCTGGGCAGGGGCGCGCGCAAGGAGGTCCTTTTCTCTGAGCAAGTCCAAAATGATCTCCGCATGAGCAAGCCACCGCCGCCTCACCATGCACACGCACAGCAAGTTCAAAACTTCTATGGCAGGTCAAATAAATGGGCATGACGGGCTGGATCTGGCCCACGGGCTGTAGTTTGAGGACCCATGGTCTATAGAGTGTCATCCCCTTAGGACTGTTCTCTAGGCTGCAATCCTGTGCATATTTAGACAAAAAAAAAAAAACAGCTTCCAGCAGGCCTTAGTCAACATCTTCTCTACTACTAATTACATAATTAATCTTGCCTGGTCAGCAAAAATTCATCATGTATGTTTGTAAAATGTGTGTGTGGGATAGATTTAAAAAATCATTTTTATTTACCATTTTTGTCTTTTTACAGGTCTTCAGTATTTCAAAAACATAGTATTAGTAGGATCTCTGCAAGATCGTTATGTCCCTTATCATTCTGCCCGCATTGAGATGTGTAAAACTGCTTTGAAGGATAAGCAGACAGGTAATAGTCAAAACATAGACATCTGTGGAGCAACTTAAGCTTTTTATTCTTAATACAATCTTTGAGAGAAGAGTCCAGATATTTTAAGTTTTACATCCAAGTCACACACTCTTAATGGGAAAACAACTATTGACATCTAAATGTGACTCTAGGACAAGTAGCTAGCCCTCAGTGTTTTCAGACTTTCAATTATGCAAAGTGGAAACCATGTACAGAATTCCAGTGTTCAAGCGGTCCGTTTAGTTGAATGATATGTGCCCCCACCTGCAAACTATTTAAATATAAAAAATAAAAAGTTGGACTTAGTGAGATGTTGAACAAGGAGGAAAGGGCAAAATTGATAATAGCAAAGAATTGGAAAAGAAGTGGGCTCTCCATTTAGTTGAATGGTATAAAGAAGTTTGGAATATAACAGTTAATGATAAATTGACATGAGAGAGAAAGATGAAATCAGGCCCAGACTTCAGCTGGCAGCTGTTGTAGCTGGAAGAGGACTGGAATAAGAAGTCCTTGTGAGCCAGTCCTCATTAACAGGTCAATTTTGCTGCCGTGGTTTGGATGAGCTGAAGTTTCCAGATCATTTTCAAAGGCAACACAACATACAGTCAGTGCAGGTAATCCAAACGAGAGCTTACCAAAGCATGGATAACTGTAGCGAGGTTCTCTGTCCAGATTGAGTCCTTAAACTGATGAAAGGTACACCATGCCACCAAGTGTACTTGTGCCTCAAGTGACAGCTCTGGATCCAGGAACACCTCCAAACTACTGATCTTGCCCTTTAAGAGGAGTGTAACCCCATCCAAAACAGGTTGAATACCAACCAGCTAAACAGATGAACCAGTTCAACGGGATAGTACCTCCGTCTTTTCTGGATTGAGTCTCAGTTTCTTGGCCTTCATCCAGTCTATTACCATGCTCAAAAACAAACTGATAAGCAAAGGGATACCTCTTTAGCTAATAGCAGCAATGAGCTTGTGTTCTCATCTGTCTACAGAAACAGGGAGTCCCAGAAGGTGGTACTTGCACTGCCTATAAAGATGTACACACAAGTATTCACTCCCACACACACACACTCCTCTTTTCCTTATAGCCTTCTCTCTATAAGGCTTAGCCTTATAGCCTAAATAAATCATCCTTATTTAGTTCTGTATCTTGGGTGCACCATTGCATAGTATATCTCGTTCATATTTGAAAACATCCAAATCACTTTGTACCTAGTGCCTTTTTCCACATGAATCTACTTATGTTCTCTGTTCAGCTGCTGAAGCCCTGCTGATTGATCTTCTTCCTTGCTTTACTTGAGACCTTGGTTTGCTTGCTTGCTTGCATGCTTGCTTGCTTGCTTATCTATTTATCTATCACTATGGCAATGGAATGCCTTACCTAGTGGTTAGGTTGTCTCCGTCTGCTGTTTGGATTTTGTCAAACAACCAAAACTTGGCTTTTTCAGCTGGTCTTCAGACTGAATTTGCCATTTCTATTGTTTTGGAAGAGGGGTCTGTGTATTTTTGCTTAATGTGGCTATATGGTTTTGTTTATAGATTGTTTTAAACTGATGTTTTTAATTTAGTGTAAGCTGCTTTGAGGCATGCTTGAGAGAAAGGAGTAAAATGAAGGCTTTAATAAAACCAATAATGGTTTTTCTTGTTCAATATGCAGGTCCAATATATGCTGAAATGATCCAGAATCTTCTTCTACCTGTTCTTCAAAATAAGGAATGCAGTTTGTTTCGTTATAATGTGCATTGTGCATTGCCGAACACAGCTGATTCTCTCATTGGAAGAGCTGCACACATTGCTGTTCTGGATTCAGACATATTTTTAGAAAAGTTCTTTCTAGTTGCTGGCTTAAAATATTTCCAATAGGAATAAAAACATTGTAACAAACCTGGTTATTACCTCATTAACAGATGAATCAAATAATAAACTATAGCTGCAGCTGTATTTTAAGAGATATTTATACTTTTTTATATGGAAGATAATTTATATCGTCCATGTGAAGAGCTTTTTAACATCAACTTTACTTTCTAGGTAATGTGGCTGTGCAATATTTTTTATGTTCATTTTTACTTTTTCTATTTTTCTTATTTTGGGTACCTAATTATTTCAGAACTGAGATTTAAGCACAGTTATGTACAGTTGGTGGGTTAGACTACAAAAGGTCAATGTTATGTGATTATCTTTGTATGCGTCTTTGGATGCCAAAACAAATCTGAATTTTAATAAGTTTAAGAGGGTATTAAATTTGATAGTTCTGTTTAGTATGGTAAAAAGTTAAACTGGAAAACTGCTGGCTGCTAAAGAACTATGATAACTGTAGATCTGTTCAAGACTGCTCTTCAGTCACCTATTTGTTATATCACTACATTGTTTTCCAGAGGATCATTACTTAACATGCTATGCCTGTGGAAACTACATTTTTCTACTGATCTCAGTAGCATGTTGGTTTACATTTTCATCTTTATTACTGGAACTTCAGTTTTCATAAGCGAGCGGCAAATAAGGATTTTTGAATGTTGAAATGTGAACTGCCTTCACATGGAGTTTTGCAAAGTTTAATAACATTGCTATGTCGGTTCAGTTCTTCAGTGAACCTTTTACATGGGACTTCTTGTATGTACATTTTTTAAAAAAGTAAAGGTTATAAATTTCTGCAATACTTTTATGAATATAGATTTTTAAATATTAAGTTTTATTGAAAACAAATCATTGTAAATAGAAATCAGTTGCATCTTGAAATGGAACAAAATGGTAAACCTTAGTGATACTGATGTTTTTAATATACAGGAATGTTAAAGCTCTGTTGAATTCTTATTGGTGCTGAACAGCATTAAGTTCAAATATTCTTCCCTTTTTACCTGTTTCAAACAGTAATGCACTTAAAGGTGAAGAGGTCTTGTGCATTCACTAATTGTAATGAACAGATTTCCTGAAGATACAAATTTGTTGTATATCTAGTGCATGTTTATTTTTAGTATTGTCTTATTGCATCTAGTGTTAATAAATTGAACAAACTTCTAAGAGATGTAAAGGGAAAACAATGTTTTGGTTCTTTCAGTGTACTGAAGAATGTTTAACTTGGAATATTGCTTATTTTTTATCATTTTTCACTGCAATCACTTTAAATGTCCTTTAGTTGTTTTAGAATTGATCTGTTGAAACTTATGTGTTTCTGTATGGTTTGAATGCATGTAAAACATCCAGACAGTTGCTTGCTTTAGTAAGAGATGCTATTTGTTTTTACTTCTACAGGTTGACATACAATGGTTTTCAGTGCTTTACTGAATTTTTCTGGGTGGCAGTGGTGGAGGGTGGGGAGGAATTAATAGATATTGCTGCTTGTTACACTGACAAGCTTGATCTATGCATATTTTTTCAGAACTAAGTTCCATTGGATTAAAGAGAGTTACTCTTCAGTGTGCATAGGATTGTAACCTTGATCAATTGGAGTGGCAGTATGTACTTTTCACATTGATTGAAAACATGGGTCCCTCATATGCATTAAATGAACAGTTCTGAGATTACAGTATTTTTCCATTGTTAGCCATTTGGGAGCTCAGGTATTACCAATTCTCACGTTAAATATAGGTAAAGTTATTCGACTTAGCCGTAGTTGATACTTAAAAGTGGGAAAGAGCTTCTAAAAGAATTAGAATGTACATGAATGTGTTCCTGAGCTCTGTTTTTTCCTGGCCTACAATTAGTTCTAAAAATTAGATTTAAAATAAGTTTTTCATCTGTAAGCAATCACTTAAACCTGTGATCACCCTGTACTAAAAAGGAAATGTGAATACTGTACCACTAGCCTTCAGCCTGTAGTTGCAAATGGTACATTGACTAGTACAAGACATGTTGCTGCAATAGAAAAATGAGATTTGTTCCATGTTACATTTTAAGTATTTTGATTTCACTCAGCCAGAGTGGCTTAAATGCATCGCGTAAACAATACAGCTCCCATGCATAGATTTACAGTCTAAAAAGACAACATACAAACAAAAGGGAACGGGATGGGAAGGGGAAAAGAAACAAAATTAAGAAGCATTTCAGTAAGGCTGATAGAATAGCTGCTTCCCGTCCCATCTCTCTTGTACTGCTTGCTGTAAACATACATCTGTTGTGTCATCTTTTGCCTTTTTCTTCCTGAGAACCACTAAATAAACCTATTTCCTCCATATACCCAGCTTGCTGACAGCAATTCCCTGTACAGATATAAAAGAAAACTATTGCTAAGTCTGTGTTTTAGGTTCCTGCCTCTATTACCAATTCACTTTATGGCAAGAGATGTTACATATGTAGAGTAGGGTAGATTTACTTGGTTACAAGTCTCTGGCAGAGAAAGTCTCCTGTGGTAACTGTTAATCATTGTCCATTTTTTAATCGCCCCATCTGGTTCCCATGAAGCCCCACTATTGTCACAGCTGTTATGTAATTTATTACACTGGTACTTTGCAGCTTAGCTGTTGTCAATCCATGTAGTGATTTGAAGAGGTTTTGTTTTGTTTATAATTTCTTTTTACTTAAAAGACTGTGTTCAGTTTAATTCTTTGTGGCAGTCATTCCACTGTTCCAGTACTGATGCTGTAGCTTAGAAAATTTATTTTCACACCTGAGGTACATTTTTCAGTGATGGTTGTATTGCAGAAGTGGTTTTATTTTGACCTGCTTTTTGCCTAAACTGCTCTCTCCCCTTCCTTGCCTATGGCTTCCTCCTCCGAACTTTTATCCAGTTGCACTGTTCTATTTTAGTATTCATTTAATTCTAGCTTACCAGAGGAAGCCATTAAATTCTAGCTACCTAAATATTGGTTTCTGTCTTAACCTTGTGTTGCTTCCTCCAGAAAGTCTCTAAAGCAATTAGGTCAAGGGTAGGTTAGAGCCAGAAAAATGCCAGGGGAAGCACAGCAGCACTTTCCCCTCCCCAAATCTCTCTTGCAGGTGGAAGGACTGCTAAATGTGGGGTGGGCTGTCCCTTCTGAGGTTTCACTGCATCCAACCAAGAATCTTAATAGCCATACTAGATTTGTTATTTTCTCCTGGCCTTTCTGTTAATAATAGGCCCTGCTGCAGCTTATGGTCAATAGAATTTCAAAATTGTTAGAATGGTTTTTAAGGGCGGTTTTGTTATGTGTGGCAGGGCTGCATCGTGCTAGTTAATATGTGCGGAATAGCCCACGATAGAAGGTAATGCAGAGTTAGCGAGCTGGCAGTTAACCTGGTTAGGAGCCGTTTTACCGTTCTAGGGACAGCTGCCTGCCTGAAAAGGTAGCTGCTTGAAGCTCAAGTTACTTTGAAGTTTCCACGCCGTTATTAATTTCCTCGATCTGAAATATCCACTGCAAACACCTTGTGCATCATGATCTAAGTGTGTTTGTGCACTAACTAAAGTGTTAGGTGAACTCGCGGGGACGTTGCCTTCTGCGCCCCTAGTGCTACAAAGAAAGTTGGCGCAGTCATCGCTGGTCCTATACTCGTCCTCCGGCCCCTTCACAGTTCCTTCTTCAGGGATAGCCCCACTTGCCGCCCTGCCTCTCCCCATTCCGAAAGCGACGAATCGCGCTCCACTTCGCGGCTACCGCAGCCCGCTTAACGACGGGAAAGGGGCTGCGCGGAGGCGGCGCCCGCTGCACTAGTCCCGCCTGCTACACGCGAAGCCCGGCGTCAGAGCAAAGCGTAGGCCCTGGTGCGGCCGGGACATGGCTCTGAGGCTGTCGCTCGCCTTGGGCCGCTGCTTCGTCTCCGTAGCGAGGCCAACCAGTAAGCGGGGGCGGGGAGTTGGAGGCGGGAGGACCGCGGGAGAGGGTGCGTGGGTGGCTGGGCGAGAGAGGCTCGCAACTAGGCCCTGGCCCCGCCGTCTCGTGGGTGGGTCAGCTGGCCCAGGGTCGGTCCGGTCGGGCTGAGAGCTAACCCCAGTCAGCTGGAGCAGAGCTCCGCAGCCCTCAGGGGGAGAGGGCCCGCGGCCACCCTTTGCCTTCTCCCGCTCGGTTGTAACTAATCATCTTCGGCCCTTCTCTCTCAGCTTTTTCTGCTGTGTCCACGGATTCCTCCTTTTACAGCCGAGGCTGAGTAGTGTTCTTTGGTGTGGTTCAGCAGGACGATCTAGAAAGAGAAAGCGCTGCACCAGCCCAGCCCTTGCTCGCTCGGCTTGTACTTACAGATTTTAATATATGGCCGAGATGGTACCAGTTTTTAAATTATTGATTGTATTTTTATGTTATTTTATGGATGTTGTGAGCCACCCCGAGGCTTTGTTGCAATGGGGGCAGCATAAAAATGTTTTAAATAAATAAATAGTGCCTCCCGTGCAGCAAGCGACCGGGGTGGGGGGGCGGCGCAGTCCAGTCAGTGCGCGCGCGCGTTGTGAGGCTGAGGTGTGTGTGCGCGTGCGCGCAAGAAAAAGTGAGGGGACGCACCGAGCACGGAGGAGGAGATTCGTTGTTTTAGCCTACCGTTTTCCCCGTCCCTTTCTGGAGTCACTCACGGGCACAGTCCTATAGAGGTCTTCTGTAGGTTTAAGCTCCATTTTGCTTAAAGGAGGCTTGCTTCCAAGTAAGCCGGTGCTTAGATTTCAGCCTCGCGCTCTTTGATTGCCTTTGCCCCGGCCGCAGCACCCTCCTTGACTTTAGCTTCAGCTGCTTTTCCAGCCACTCCCCAAAATGTATCCCAATCGGCTTCTGCTCATTCATTCCAGTAGCTGGTGAGAAGAGTTGCTTATAAACTGAGCCGCGAAATGGAGAAGCTGGACACAAAAACTAGGAGCGGAATTTTTTGAGATAACTGAATCATTAGAGGAGCAACATTTACTCAGAAGCATCCTATTAATTCCCTAACTCCTTGCCTATGGTAAGAAAAGTGGGGGTGGAGACAGAGAAGAAAGAATTGGATAGGTACCCAGCCACACCTGGCAAAATTAAACAATAACAGGAAAAGGGAGGGGGGACCTGTTGGAACAGTTCTAATTACTCTGGTCATTTTAATTTGGCTTGGGAGTTAGCTGTGCAGTAGCAAACGAAGATCTTGTTTTAAAGTCACAGCTGAAAGGGGTGGGGAGCAAACTAAATGGGGAGAATGAAGTTACTAATTGGATGATTTCTTAAGTAGATTAGAGTGTCATTTACTAGATCAGACTATTATGCCTTGCTATGGTGATGCAACTGAATGGTGAGCCTGTAGCTGCTCTTTTCTTGATTCTACACTGCAGCTCTGAACTGTTCCAGGCACTGAGCCACAACCGTGACTGAAGTCACCAGCATTCTGTCTGTTACCAAACTCAGCCAGTCAACAGCTAGGGCAAACCTGGGTGGACCCCAGACCCGAGCCACAAGGAGCCTGAGACGAGACTTAGAGCCAAAATCAGCCTTATTCTAGTGCACTATAGTATAAAGAGAGACAAAAGGGGACATTCAGCCCAAAGCAGTGTCTCAAAAGTTGAACCCCGGTATGCATTTTATACCCTAGGTAACCAATTAGGTCACCTAATACACATCTAATACATCGATACATCAATATATGCACCCCCTCCCGTACTGGAGAAAGAGTCCTTTCTTCTGTCAAGGACCAGACATTTCCCATGTCTATTTCTTAATCTGCTCAAGATTCACACAGGCTTGCCATATTCTTACTCCCTGCACATCTGCAACTTTCATGGCGGCTAGAACCAGTGTCCAGTGTCCCTTTGATTACTGTATTCACGGTCAGGCTAGCGTGCTAGCTGTGGGTTACACAAAGTTCATTTTGTTCTTATCTGCCCTCCCTCCTGGGACAGTATAATTGTGGTGTTTTTACTATGTGGCCTTCCTCTGGCAAACTACTTTTGGGGCCTTCCTCTGGCCAATTACTTTTGGGATGTTTTGGGGTGCTGCAATTGGCAACATGTCCCTGAGGCTCTTCCTATTCAACTGTCATGGAACTGATGGAAATCAACAGACTTCCAGTGGGGTCATGAAGCAATGAGGAAATCTGCACTATTTTTACATTTCTGACACCTGTGTGCAGACACACTAATAGGAGAAATAGGTGGCATCTCTTAGTTCATCCCATCAGTGGCATGTCAGACGTTTCTGATGTACTTTCTGTACAGACTTACAGTGTAATTATTTCATTTTGTCAGCGTCAACCTTCATATTAATGGAGAAGCTGAGAGTGGCTGCCACTCGATAACCCCTATTTTTTCTGTAGTAGTGACTCTTTTGTTCTCAGAATAGATCTGACTATATCACAGAAAGTTTATCCACAATATGTTACATTTTACATGTGCATTCATGCCTTTGTACTGTAAAAATAGTCTGCATTCAACTGGTCACAAAATGAGAAAGTGATGTTTTCAGACACTTTCAGTATATACTTAGGGCTGGGGTGGATCTGGTCCAGACTGGCAATTGTTTATATCATACCAAGTGATAACTGTCTTAATCTAGGTTCATGAAGGTTTAAAATGCAGATTCAATGCCTGATACCTTTAGTTGAAGTATTTTAAGTAGTTAGGGTTGAGAAAGTCCCTTACTTGATATCTCAGAGAACTCTTGCTCATTGGAATAGATTGTCCTGCACTAGATGGGCCAATTGTCAGCTTCATATGCTCACAATTTAGGGGAAACAAATTTTTAATCCCCCCAAAACTATTACTGTTAATCATTTTAAGGTATTATGTGTTTAAACTATGACAGCAATCCATTTGCTTATGTTTGTGGTGTAAGAGGAAATCTATCTAGGGTTGGGTCTGTTTATGAAAGATGTATCTGTGCATGCTTTGATGGACTTGCTCATAGTTGTGCAGGTGAATACACTGGCAAGTGTTCACACAGATGTGGTACTCTTAATACAGTGGTGCCTCGTGGTTCAAACGACCCTAACTTCAAACAATCCAGAGTTTGAACATTAGAGTTGAGATAAAATCACTCTGCAGTTTGAGTGATGCTTCTAAGTTCAAACTGCAAACAAAGAAAAAATATGGTTGCAGCAAAAATATCATCCAGTTATGCACCCAAGTTGGGAAAAATGGCCTTGATATCCTGAATCAATTCATCTCATCTTGCCTTGAATCGATTCAAGACATCAAGGCAGCCACGACAGTGCTAGGGTAAGTGTGTTCAAAGCGAGAGGGAGTATGTATTTTGAGGGGGATTAATGCAATGTGTCTTTTACTGTATTTTTTTAAATTTAAACATTCACTGCACTTTTTGATCACATCTCATACATACTCTCAGATTTGATTCATTTCAGGAGGCTGTATTTGCTGTTTTAAGTTTACTGAAATGAGTGTTGTTCAGGGTCTGGGAACAGATTAATTCACTTTCCATTATTTCTAATGGGGAAAGTTGCTTTGGACTTCGAATGATTCAGAGTTCAAACAGCCTCCTGAAATGAATTGAGTTCGAGGTACGGGGCATCCCTGTACATCATTCTATGCTCTAGTCCTCTGAAGTTTTGCTCTGTGTGCATCTAGAGTTCTACTGTACCTTCTGCTATAGAACATTACTTTTTTGTTTATCTAAACTTTTTTCAGCACATCGGAGAATGAGGATCCCTGTGGACATCTTTATCAATTTGATTTATGTTTGTATATAATAGGGTCAGTTTTGCTGCACACCTCTTTGGGAAGTACTAACTGTAGCACAAAAGGAAATGCTGCATCTACCAAGCAACCTCTTAAAAAACCAAAATTGCCAGTAGGTCGTTTTGATGAGCCAGAAGAATCCAGTGCAGAAAAGGAGCCTTTAGAAAGTAAGTGTTTGTGAGTGTAGAAGACATAAATATGAACATTTGGAAAATAGTCCCAAAACAGATGCAGTGCTGAGATGCTACAACCCTCCTGGGGCAAGCAGCTGCCACATGAAGAACTGTAATTGGATGCAGTTACACCATCCTATTTTCATTTTCAATAGCTGGCAGTATCCCTTTGTTATCCAGCTTTTACAGACATAATTGTGGTATCATTTGCTTCCTGTGTCTGTGTCAATGCTCTGAGGCATTGTATTCTCAACGCAGTGTGGATATTATCTTTACTGACATTCATAATACGACAGTTGCTTTTCAGTTTGCTAATGTGATTCTTTCTTTTGGTTTGTATGTGTCGGGGCAGGGGCTGAACCTGCTTAGAAGGTTACTTTCTGATGCTGAAATAACCAAATTTTAAAAGTAAAATCATCCATTTAGTTTTTTTACCTCACTGCATCTTTTTCCCCAGCACACTGCCATGTTTGTATTATTTTGAATAAACTGAATTGCTGTGTCATGTCTCTTAAAAACAGCTGCTTCATACATTTCAAAAGTTTTTCTTTGAATATGAGTTGTTAACATATTGTTACATAATTGTATCCCGAGATTGTAATAGCACAGTTATAAGCCCTAGGTTACTCAAAGCTATTGATTCTTCATATACCTTATGGTAGGTTTGGTCCCACAGCTAAAACTGGAGCAAATAAGCAATCAGGAAATAAGGGTTCCTAGTGACCCCTAGTGCCATAGTAAGGTGATGTGTAAGGACTCTCTGAAGTATCCCAGGAATGTTACATGTAGTAGCATTACAAGTCTAATAGCTGAGCGGAACCGCCTATTTATTGGCCTTTTGCTGTACCTTCTTTTTAGAATTTCCAGATGACATCAATCCTGTTACAAAAGAAAAGGGTGGACCCAAAGGCCCCGAACCTACTCGTTACGGAGATTGGGAACGGAAAGGACGCTGCATAGATTTTTAAACGGTTCCAGACTTTAATGCTACTGCTATCTGGGTGGAAGTAAAAATGATGGAAAAAATCACCCAAATTTTCTTTTGCATTTCTTTCCCATAATTTATTTAATTACCTTTTTGAGAGGAATACTTTGGATAAATATACTTTAAATTTAAAACTATGTTTTTGCCTTTTTGTCCTTGGTTCCTGATGGTGATGTGAATATAACGGTTGATAGAATTAATTAAGGCTGCAATCCTAAACATACTTCAAGGGGAAGTCCTTTTGAAGGCTATAACTTTCATGTAAGATCGTTATACTTGTCAATGCAACCAAACTTTTTCAGCAATGCAAATTGCAGAGATACTTCAAGAAAAACCGATGTTTGTTATTTACAAGCTGAGATGCAGCAAGGCAATTGATTAATTGCTGTCTCATGTAACCTGGCCTCTCTTTAGAGCTTTATGAAGCATGTAACATTTCCCACTTGATGTGTAAAACATATCAATTAGGTATATGATGGATGGAACTGCTGCCACTCCTCTGACTATAAAGTATTTTGGAGTTGCTACATTCTTTTTTTACTTGTTTGAATCAAATGCACTGAATGTAACAGTAATCCCCAAGTATTATCCACTGAACCATATTTATCCACTTCTTTATTGTGATTCTACTACTCTGTGTGAGGGCTGGGCCGTGGGTGGCAGCTGGAATGGGCAGAACGCCGGGTCCAAGGCACGAGCTGAAGTAAAGTCCAGAAGTTTGCTAATGGGCCAGAGGCAAGTCAGCAGTCCCAGGTCAATACCATGGAGAAGAATAGTCAGATTTCACAGAGAGAAAGAATCAGAGAACTATTTGGAGGTCATTTTACTGGGTGCGTCATTGAAGTGAAGGTTGGAGCAAGGCAGGGTCTACTTAGAGGAAGGAAGAGAACAGCAGGAAGGATGCAGGCTGGAGCAAGACGGTCTACTCAGGAACAAGGCATGGAGATGCCTGGAGCCAAAGCAGAAGGAGTCCGGGGGATGGCTTGTGTTGTTGTGGCAAAGAGCAGCAGTGCCAGAAAGCCTTTTATGCTGGTCTCCAGGACCTTCAGGTGTAGTACATGATTGCTTCCCGGCTGTTTGCCCACAGAAGAGCTCCTGGTTGTACAGACACTTGCAGGACCAATCGGGCTCTGATTCTGACATTCTGAATATATTTCTCCACTGTTACACAGTCATTAATGAATTACTTTTCCATTCTCCTGAAATAAATTATCCAGATGATGGAGTCCTTTGCTTTGGCTTGCACTCAGTCTTTTTGTCAAAATTATTAACTTATTTATTTGTAAATACAGACCAGTAATGCTTATATTTGAAGGCACACAATTTTTTGAAATAACAAAAATATTCTTGCTGATTTCTTCTGTATAGTAATAGAGAAAATCCCAATATCCCTTAAAAATATTTTTTCATGCAAATATATGTTCAAAACAGTCTCACCAAAATGGAATAAGGGGAAGTGTTTTTAGAATACTGATTTTTTTCTTGGAATCCTAAAAATTTTCTAATGTGAATTTGGGTGAAAATCTGTGGAACAATTATCTTCTGAAATCTTGAGAGGTCACCTTTCCGCATTTTTTTAGTCTCCCATTGTTATCTATGAATGTTCCAAGTTTTACCTTCATAGCTTTTGCACAGCTTATTAGACTATAGGTACGTATATGATAACTTAGTGTGTATCCAAAATAAGCAGCTATTGATAGGATACAAATTAATGTTTGAAAATTCTGTGTATTGTTTACAGACTAATAAACTGCAGCAAATTAATGGCCTTTATTGCCCTTTTATCTCAGGGAAAGAAAACTAGGAAGCATGTTGGAGGAACAGGAGTTTGTTTGTTTAAAGCTTTTATATACCATCCAACTACTAGTGTCTTGGGACAGTCTTACAGTAAAAATAGCATAAAATGTATCTGTGCTATAGTGACAAAGTGCAGAGTTCGGAGTAATGCCTGTCAAAGCACCCATATATACCATCTGAGCCAATATATTTTGACTATCTTATTTCTTATGCATGTTGGATATGTTTATTTCCTAACAGCAAAGCCCAAGAAATGTATGCTTCTGGTACACCTTGTTGGTTTTAGTGCAATACACTGTTCTGCTCTTTTCTGTGATAAACTCCAGCACATATGGATGTAAGGTATAATTAATGAAACTAAACTGTCACTAAAACTATCACTCTTTTTAAATAAAAGTGAAGAAAGAAAAGGAAAAATTGCTAATGGATTTCCTAAAGAATGTTAGTGAATCCTTTAAAAAAGTCTGAATAATTTTTGAAGGAGTAGATGCGAGATGAAATCACACTGTCCAGGCACTGGCTCAGAACCGTCACTACCTCACCTCGATTCGGTGACAGGTAGGGTTGAGTGTCGTCCGCATATTGGTGACACTTCACCCCACCTCACATAGTGGTTTCATGCATATGCTAAAAAGCATGGGGAAAAGTGTGGCACCCTGCAATACCCCGTGGTGTAGGGGTCACGGCACAGAGCCATACGAGTACCTCCCCAGCACCACCACCTGGAAGCAGCTGGCCACATAGGAGCCAAACCACTGGAGCACAGTGCCTCCAACTCCTAATCCAGCCAGCCTAGCCAGAAGGAAAGGCTGGTCGACGGTATGGATAGCCGGAGAATGAACAGGGATGCACTCCCCTGTCCTTCTCCAAACAAAGGTCATCCACAGGGTGACCAAGGCAGTTCCCCTGCTGAAACCAAATGAAGATAGACCGCTGTGCCAGCCTGAAGCACATCTAACAGTGATGTAAGTAAGGAATGTGTATCCTATTTACATTATTAGCATTGCTAGCATCATCTAATGAGGGAGATGGGATTTGAACTGACTTTTAAAAAGAGTGTCTTATACTGAGTGGACAGCTGGAGATGGGGTTGGGGAGCCATCCTGAATGCTGAGAGCTGCTGGTTACTGTGGGGATGAGAGAATGTGAGGAGGAAAAGATAACTGCAGGACAGCAAAGAAGGCATTGAGAGGTGATGGCAGAAAAGAGAGAGCTTACCCTGAGTGGAATATTGGAGCCTATAAAGGAGACAGTGAAAGCAGCAGCAGTTAAGTGGTTGAATGTGGACCGATGTTAAAAGAAAGGGCCCCAGAGTTGGAAAGTGTCTGAGCCAGCAAGAATTACAGGCCTACCTCCTGGGGAGAATGCAGTGATGTTCAGGACACCAACCCTTCCGCCTGTTTGCCTTCACGTGAGCATGTGGAGCAGGTACCGAGACATCAAGGAGGAACAGTTAAACTTTTAGCCTCGAGATCAGTTTGCATAGGTGAGCTAGGTAGTTAACGTCAACAGACTGGGAAGTATTTGTGTTTGTTTTCTATAGGCTGCACTATGTTAATTACTAAGGGATTAAAAACAATAATGTGGCTTTTCTACGTGTCTGGACTCAAATGGTTATTATCTGAATCTCCTTTATGTCTAGCAACTAAAACTGAGGGAGAATGAATGTTTAAGATGGCTGGCACCCACTAGAAAGAGATATAAGGTAGAGTAGCTAGAAAAGTATTACTGTAACAGATTTTATTTCCGAGAAAAGAATATTATTTCAATTGCATGGCCAAGAGGAAGGGCCATGGTTCAATGACAGAGCACCTGCCTTCCTTGCAGAAAGTCTTTGGTTCAGTCTCAGGCATCTATAGGTAGGGCTAGGAAGAACTCTGCCAGAAACTCTGGACAGTTGTTGCCAACCCATGTTGGCAGTGCTTGGCTAGATGGACCGATGGTTTCACGAAGCATATGGAAGCATCCTGTGTTTCCCTTCAGCAGAAAACTAACCCTTCAGGTGCAAAATATTAGTTAATACCACTGGTGGATTTGGAAGGAAACAGTTGGGTGAGAGGAGGCAGATTAATAAATGCAAGCGCCATGCAGGATCTGGCCAACAGTCCGTCTAATCCAGCATTCTGTTCACACAGTAGCCCAACAGCTGCCTTTGGAAATACCCCAAGCAGGGCATGAGTAAAACGGCACTCTTCTGTTTGTGTTTTCCAGCAATAGGTGCACATAAGCATAGTGCCTCTGATGTTGGAAGTAGCAAATAGCAAGTAGCCATAATGACTAACATGGATTTGTCTAATCCCCATTAAAACCCATATCAGCCATTACTGCTACCTGTTGTGAATTCCAAAGTTTTAAGCAAGTGCTGGGTGCAGTATTTCTTTGTCCAAAATCTTCCGCCAATTGGCTTCATCAGGTGACCAGAAAGGCAGAAGAATTACAGGAATTCACTATTGGAGTGGCTGGGTGCTAGGACTACAGTGGATACAGAAACCCTCTTACGCATGAGGAGATACTGCTAAATTCAGAGAATGCCTTAACCAATCAAGGTACATGAGTTTCTAAGGTAATCAATGAACTGTCAATTGTGACAATAATTCTTTTTTTCTGCTGCAGCCTCTTCAAAACATCCCAAGCTGTTCCGGAAATCCCAAGGAGTGGATTTTTGGCACTCAGCATTTTCCACAGATAATGTGGTTGGAGATAGACAATGAAACCCTGGCTTCACCTGCCCCGTAGGCTGGAAGCCCTGTGAGGTCGGTTGGGCCAGGAGTCTGTGACTGGCCAAAGTCACCCAGCTGGCTGGCTCTATCGCCTAGTGGTGGTTGCCTGAGTCCCAGTCCCATGCCCTTAACTACACCACACTGATTATCAATCTGGCCACTGCATTTTGCACATGGTTCAGTTTCTGAACTGTCTTCAAAGGGATCATTGCAATAATCTAATGTGGAGGTACTGAAAGCAGAGACAACTGAAGCCAAGTTACCCTTTCCCCAGTACTTGGACTACTAATTGTTTGGGAAGGCTGATCTAGTCTATGTATGCAAACCTTAGGGCTCAAAAATGCATAAGACAGCTATTGTTGGGCTAACTAACTTATCTGATGGGATAGACAACATGTTCTAATTTGGGAATGTTTTAATAAAGTTCCTCTACCTATGGGTAAGGCATGCATGCATTCTAATTATGTTGAAAGCCATGATTTAAATCTAATCTTACCGATTTAAATGGATTTGATTTAAATCAAATCCACCCTGCTGTTAACTCCTAGGAAAAAGTACAGGTAAGAAGAATGGCACTATTTTAAATCAGATCTTGTTAAGTGGTAAATAGAAAAGAAGAAAAATAAAGAACTACATTTGTAAGATGTACTGGCAGGGCAGTACTTAATTTTTAAATTGAGAGGTGCCTGCAAGTCACACCCTTTCGGCTGGAATCCCTGCTTTCAGCTTTGTATAGCCTGGCCTGAGTGACTCAATGAAGCAAAGGGCACTGTTTATTTTTGTTCATTTTCAGAGATATGCTCTGGTACTGGAAAAGAGGTTAGAATCTGAGCTCTTCTTAACCCTGGCTCAGAATTATCCCTCCCCCCGCCAAAAAAGAACCCAAAACCAGTCCTACTTTTTTGTACAAAATTGTGAGCAGAAGTGCTGATCTATGATCAAACTGCTAACGATTTACTGACTACTGTATGGCCGTATCCATTACAGTACAGTTTAGAAACAAATTTAGTATGTCATAAAACTCTTTGAATCTAATAAAGACTATAAAGATACTAAACATGGTTGCTACATGATTAAAAAAAATTGTTTTGCTGCAGCAACAGAATATTGTTTATCATCATGAGGCTGCTGTAAACATCCAACAAGAAACTGTTGCTAATACGTCACATTGAGTTAAATATGTCTTTTTAATGACAAGATGCAAGCTAATTATTGGAATAGGGTGTTTGATAAGCTAATTGTTGTGGTACCCTGAAAATATTTCCAAAAGTAACAATCTAGCTTTGGAAGACAGGCAATGTTCCATACAGCATTTAGTTCACCATCTCAGCCCTTTGAAAAGGTTCGTATTTTGAGCAAATTCACAGAACAGTTTCTATGTTTTGCTTCCATCTGTAGCTTTTGCAGCACTTCAGCTGATCATTAGCACTTTGGCTCGTCATTGCATGCAAGCCTGGGCGATGTTTGAACAGACAGCTTAGACCTTAGATCCAAAGCCTGGGGGATTCAGAGATTTAGAATTGCTTGTCATTGCCCTGGCACACTGCAAGGCAGCTCCTGCAACTCCTATCTGGGCTAAACTTCATGCTACATGAGACCTGAGATTGGATCTCCATTTTTTTCACATTAAGATAACTGTGTGCATGTCAGAATTTATGCCAACATTGCTGCACAGAGAGGGGTTTTCATCCTGCCTCCTGCAGTGCTTCCTTAGGAAAAAAAATATGTTCTTTATGCTCCCTGAAGGTTACCTGAAGGAGCGCTTACATCCATATTTGCCCAGTCGCCCCCTGAGATCGGCGGGAGAGGCCCTTCTCCGGGAGCCCTCCGTGAGAGAAATTAGGAGGGTGGCTACTCGGAGAAGGGCTTTCTCAGCGGTGGCGCCTAAGTTATGGAATGCGCTCCCCAGAGAGGTCCGCCTGGCGCCGTCGTTATTTGTTTTTCGGCGCCAGGCTAAGACCTTTTTATTTAAGCAACATTTTAAATGCTAAATACAATTGAATTTTATCTGGCCAGGGCGGCTTATTTTATAATGTGTGTTTTAATTAAGATTATTTTATATGGATTTTAACTTGTTTTATCTATGTTGTAAGCCGCCCCGAGGCTTCGGCGAATGGGGCGGCATAAAAATGTTTTAATAAATAAATAAATAGATAGATAGATAGATAGATAGATAGATAGATAAAGAAAGTAGCATTAGTATATTGGGGGGGGACCATAAAACTCTTTTTTAGCACCACTGCTCCAATTAA